TGGGAATATAATCAATATTTGTCACCTTTATTTGAAAACTAGCATCTACACACCTCAGAGCTGTCATTGTGGATTGGTTCCACCAATAATCATTCTTTGATTGTTATAATTAAATTTTGTAACTAATGGTCTTATTATTTCCAATAGGTACTTGTTTCTGTGCCTGTTTTTTAGAAACTATAATTTCATTAGCTTTTGTTCAACAAACTGAATAAAGCAGAATTCCATAAATAAAAAAATACTTCAAGCTAAATGTGGTGATGTATATGTATAAGCTCAACCTGGGGAACTTAGCAACCTTGTTAAACAAAAAAGAGGTTGGAATGTAGCTCAGTGGCACAGCACCTTCCTATCTTATGTGAAGCCCTGGGTTCAACCCCAATACTGAAGGAAGACCCCACCCCCCAAAAAAACGAAAGTGCTTCAATATATAGCCACCACTGACTTCTTTCTGGTTTTTTTTTTTCGTTTTTTGTTTTTTTTTTTTTTTTTGGTATTTTTTTAGGGAAGGGTCTACAGGGTGTTCTCACTACTAGTAATGATCCGCCTATTTACAGCCTCCCAAGAGGTGGGATTACACCACACCCAGTCTCAATTCTTTCCAATTTTTATTACAAATGTTTACAGGAGCTTGATATGGCTGCGTAATTCTGTAACCTCAGCACTCAGGAGGCCGAGGCAGGAGTATTCAAAGTTAAAGGCCAGTCTAGATTATATAGCAAGATCTTATCTCAAAACAAATAATATAGGACTTTTATTTATTTATTTAATTTTGCGGAACCAGGGATTGAACTCAGGCCCTTGTGCTTGCCAGGCAAGTACTTATTCTACTGAGCCATCTCCCCACCCCCAATTTCTTTATATTTTTGTGGCACCAGGGATCAAACTCAGGACATTTAGCTTGTGCTGTTGAGTTATATCCCTGGCCTCAAACTTCTATTATTATTTATTTATGTTTTTTTTTTTTTTTTTGCGGAACTGGGGATTGAACTCAGGCCCTTGCGCTTGCCAGGGAAGCACTTATTCTACTGAGCCATCTCCCCGGCCCCCAACCTTCTATTATTTATCTTGAGTTTGCTTGCTTGCTTACTTACTTTGTTTATTTATTTAGAGACAGGGTCTCACTATGCAGTTCAGGTTTCCCTGAGCTCACTTTGTAGCAAAGAACCTCCTATCTCAGGCTCCTGAATGCTGGGATTACAGGTGTGCCCCACCTTACCGTTTTTCATGAGTTTATTGTAATTATTACCAGACTTATTTGTCTTGTTGTTGTTATTGTTTTGGCCTAGGTTTGTGATAGGTGAGGGACAAGATAAAAGGTATGGGAAGGAGGAAAAGAAGGAAAGGTTGTTGTCAGGCGTGGTGGTGCACACCTGTAATCGAGCACTCAGGAGGTTGAACCAGGAGGGTTGCAGCAAGTTTGAGGCCAACTTGGGCTTCATAGTGAGTTCAACACTACCCTGACTTACATAGTGGGATCTTGTCTCAAGGAGTAAGGGTATCTCAATAAAAATATTCAGGCCACAAAATAGAACATTATGTAGCCTCGATAAAGATCTAACAATACTGGTTTTTTAATTTAAATTACAGTTTTTGGAAAATAAAAATAGTACTTGGTTTTGGAACTTTACTGCATAATGTTTTTTATTAGTTTATGTTAGCAGTGCATAATGAATACATTCATCATGGGGGATTTATACATGCACATGAGACATCTTAATTCTTTTTTTTGTTGTTCCCTCCCTCTGCCCTCCAACTCTTCTCCTCTTTTGGAAAAGCTCTATTTCCATTCTTTTTCTCTTGAATTTTATTTTCTTTAGATCCCTTTTTGCTTCCTCCTTTTGCTCCCCGCCCCCCAATCTCTTGTTCCCCTTGCCATTTGAAAAAAATTCTTTCTACTTTCTAATATCTATCCTCTGTTTTGCTCTTTATACTTTGGGTTTCTCATATAAGAAGAACAGTGTGATACTTAAACTTGTGTGTTTATTTCACTTAAGTATGAGGTGCATCCATTTACCTAAAAATGCCTGAAGTTTTCATTTATATAAATACATTTTTTTTATCCATTCATCTTTTGATGGGCATATGGGCTGTTTCCAAGGTTTAGTATTATAAATTATAAATTGTGCGGGAATAAATGTGACTATGATATAATCACTAACTCAGAAAGATACCTAGCAGGGTAGCTAGGTCATGAGACAATATTTTTGTCCTCTGTCACTATTTTTGCAATGCCTGCAAATTTGCTTTTTTCTAATTTTTTTTTTAAATTTTTAAATTTTTTATTTTTTTATTTTTTTATTTTTGAGATGGTCTCACTGTGTAGTCAGGCTGGCCTTGTGCTCACTTTGTAGTCCAGGCTGGTCTCAAACTTGCAACAATCCTCCTGTGCTGGAATTAATAGGTGTGTACCACTACGCCCTCTTAAAATAAGCTAGTGACTAAAAGATAACGTTTCTTTGAATGATGTGCTAAAGCATTAAATTGTCTGGATTTAAACTTTTAACTTTCTCGCTATTTGGAGTTACTCTAAGATCATTTCCGTGCTGTGATCTCCTTGTGTATCAGTGGGGCTTAGTGATTTCCACTTAGAATTATGGTGGTAATGCCTGTAAAGCTCTTAGAATAGTGTCTAGGAAATAGAAGAGCTTAATGTATGATAGCTACTGCTTTCCAAGGTAGAATCTTTTATTTATTTGTTTTCAAGATCCCTTTGTAAATTTAATGAAAGACAACACATGTCTTCCCATAAATGTAAATCTTGCATAATGAGAACCACTAAGGTCTTGAATGTCTACAAGCCACTTTTTCATTTCCTCTCCTATAACTTGAACTTGATGTCCTTCTGCTTCCACCTAAGCAGCTGGGCTCACGGGTGTGTACTACCACACTTGGTAGGAGAGAGATCTTTGTCTTATATAGCCGGACCTATTTTTTTCTTCAGTTTTAATTTATGCTTTGTTTCTACATTTCAGCTACATTTCTATCTTTCCATACCCTATATGGATTATGACTCAGTCTCTCCTTAGCTCACACATCTAGTCCCCAAATCTGAGATGAATATAGACTTCTCAGAGGAACAAATACATATAACAAATAAACATATGAAAAAATCTACATCACTCATCATTGAAGAGATGCAAATTAAAATAACACTGAGATTCCATCTTACCCTGGAAAGTGGCTGTTCTCAATAAATCATCCAATAACAAATACTGGAGGGGCTGGAGGGAAAAAGGAACCCTTCCCCACTGTTAGTGGGAGTGCGACTGGTGCAATCACTGTGGAAATCAGTGTGGAGATTCCTCAAAAAACTAGGATTGGAGGTCCCATTTCATCCACCTATTCTATTCCCCTTCTGGGTATCTTGCCAGAAGAATTAAAAAACATTGTACCAGAGCAATATATGTGCACCCATGTTTATAGCAGCAAAATTTGTAATACCTAGATCTTGGAAACAATTCAAATGCCCATCAATCAAAGAATGGATAGATGGGGTCTTTTTTAAAAATAATGGAGTACTACTCAGCCATAAAGAAGGATAAACTGGAGATTTTTATAAGTAAATGGATACAACTCAAGACCATATGCACATGTGGAAACATCATATTCAAAAGAAAAGAGAAACTAGTATAAGGGAATAGAGCCGGGTATGGTGGCTCAGGCCTGTAGTCCCAGCACTTGGGAGGCTGAAGCAGAAGAATTGTTTCAAGTTTGAAGCCAGCCTGGACTACAAAGTGCGCTCAAGGCCAACCTGAACTGCATACTGAGACCCTGTTTCAAAAGGACAAAAAAGGGCCGAGGAGATGGCTCAGTAGAATAAGCGCTTGCCTGGCAAATGCAAGGGCCTGAGTTCAATCCCTGGTTC